CAAATGGAGTAGAGAATTTTTTTGTTAAAAAATAGTTTAAAAAGCCTCCCCAAATCATGCTTGCATTTTTCATTGCACATGACTTTCCCTATGTATACATCTACAACTCAATTCCCTCTCCAGACGGAACCCTTATGAAAGATAAATACTCATTTACTCAATTTTTACTTGTATATTGCATAAGCATTTACTACAAAAGAAATTATTATATGCTAATCTATTAAATTAGAAAATTATTAACCATTTAAAATAGTTTGTGGTTTCACTCTAGTAGATTTGAGTTTTTTTTTTTTTTACTAATTGATGAAAAGAATAGATTTGATGATAATAGAAAAGCACAAATGATGAAAGCATTGCTTAAAAAGGTACGCCAACATGTTAACAAAAAGAATAAGAAGTATGCATTTCAAGCAAACAAAGGAAAAAAAATGATTTTCTTTGAACTAGGAGATTGAGTTTGAGTGTAAATGTGTAAAGTGAGATTTCATAGATATAGAAAATACAAGTTGATGTTTAAAGGAGATGGTTCATTTAGATTCTTTGAAGCAGTCAATGCTTACAAAGTGAATCTACAAGGTGAGTATAATGTTAGTGCTATATTCGTAGTTTTTTTTTTTTTTTTTATCTTTCTTTATTTGATGTAGGTTATAATTCAAGGTTGAATTTTTTTAAGGAGAGAGGGGATGATGCGATCCTAGCTATGATATTAAAGGATCCATTAGGAATGTCAATTGGGTCTATTCCAAGACGTAAAATGAAGTTGGTCCAAAATGAGTTAAATGAGCTAAGTCAAGAGGCTAGGGTTAAAAAGGTTTAAATCTAATAATCTGAAACTTTTTTTACTTTTCGGGTCATAACTTTTAAATATCTCTCAACAAAATGAACCTAAGTTCTAGATTTGAGAGAAAAATCAAAGCCAAAAAGAAGAAGAAGAAGAAATAAGAGAAAAACACTAAAAATGAGGTAATGACGAGTGTGTAAGATCTAAAAAATTCAAGTTAGAAATTCTTTCTTCATTACTTTTTTTATCGTGAATTTGAGAAGCTAAAAGATTGAAGAATTAATAAGAATTAACTCCCACCATTATTAACCAATGTTAGCTACCATCAATCAATAATTAAATCTAGAAAATAAATTTTTCTTTGGGTGGAAAAATCAAGGGGTTTTTTAAATTAATTTTTCATTTATCTATAATTTATTTATTTATTTAAAATAAATTTCTGACAATAAGACCTTCAAAATTCTTTAACTGAGGTGCAACCATTCTATAGAAGTCAAATTACTTACATTGAGATGTATGAGAAAAGGCTATTTGAATCAATACGTAGACAAAAAACATTATCTTTTCTTTCAAAGGGTTGTTCCTAACTATATAGAGCAAAGGACATAACATTCTTAAAGAAAAATAAGTGTAAATAAAAGAGATAGATATCTTCACTTGTTTTTAATGTCAATTTCTCTTCGACCAAGTTTGGAAGCATCCATAATTAGGATAATAACCTTATGTCCCATTCTTCCAGCTCTTTACACTAAAAAAAGCTAATATATTTTGATTCTTGTACATATGTTGCAGAAAGATAGCTAACAATCTAACATGTTGGAAGATGATAAAGAAATTAGCAAAGAAAAATGAAAGAACCGGTGAAGGGAAGGAATATAAAATTGAAAGAAGTGAACAACATTGCAGTTGGAAGTAACCTCTTCTATCATGCATGCACGTAGACATACATGATAAAATCTACAATGAAAAATAACTTAGCGTTTACACCCATAAAGCAAACAAATGAACATCAATTTTTTTATTGAAGTACAATAATCATGTTAGATACAACTGTAGCTCTGGTTGTGGTGACCTCAGTGGAAAAAACATAATCAAAATATTTAGTAAAAATTGCTAAGTTATAGAAATCACAACTATTTTAGGATGTCTCAAACCTTAGGATGCACCAACATATTTAAATTTAAAGTTTATAACTATGATAAATATATTTTCAACACAAATATAATAATAGAATTCTAACATATGCATGTATCAAAACTTGCAATTGATATTAATTTAAAGTCCAAGCATCATTTTAATAATAAAAAAATATCTATAATTAAATTAAAACAAAGAAATGTATTTGTTGAAATACTCTAAAGTAATAATTTTTTTTTATTATTGTCAATATTGAATCTTGTATCCATAAAGCTTTATTATTCCTCATTCATATAGTTAGAATATTTGCAATATACTTTCTAAAGTTCTAACATCACTATCTTGATTGAGAGTTATTTTTAAACTAAGTATTTGAAATAAAGTAAAAGAACTCAAGAACCCAAGCTCTAGATTTTTTTTTTGGGGAAATCAATGCATAAAAAAGAGAAGAAAAACACTAAAAATAATGTGAGGAAGAGCGTTTAGAAATTTGAAGAAAAAATATATATATTTAAACTCTTCATTCACTTTTTTTATAGTGAATTTTGGAAGTTAAAGGTGAAAGAATTAATTCTCACCATTCAACTTTTGATTATCCACCATAAATAAAAAATTAAATCTAAATATAGTGGTTATAAATTTAAATTTTTTTAACTGAAATAAACTTTTTAGATTTACTCAAAATGCTTTTAAATAGATTATTAAAATTCATAGGCAGGACTAGACAAACCATTAGCTAGAAGAAATATTTTATTATGAATCAAGTTCAAATCTAAATTTCAGATGGAAAAAAAATTAATTTCTTATAATAAAAAATATTATTATACAACAAGTTCAAAACTATGTAAGATTAAGTTCAAAGCTTATTTTGTATAGAATCTCTCTCCTCTAAGAACATAAGTGCTCTTTAAATCTAATTTTAACTTATCAATTACTTACTTTATAAATATTAGAAAATTTTTTTATTTATGTTTTTCTAATATAGAATAAAATGTTTTAGAGTGTTTTGGATTTTATTTAAACATACCAACTAAAAATTATTTAAAATTAATTTTTTATTTATTCATAATTTATTTAAATCACATTAATTTTTTATCTTAAATAGCATATATTAAAAATTAAATTCTAATAAAACCTTAATTCTAAAAATAAATACACATCACTTTTAATTTAGTCTCAATTATTCGCATGTTATTTAAAGAAATCACCATCAACGTATGCATAGCAGTCGGAACAATCATTATTGGTGCTGAGATTCTGTACCCCAATATAGCAGTTGACTTGTCAATTATTCTCCCATCTTCAGGAATTCATGGCCGAAACCTGGGAAGGGATGGAAAGAAATTAATAATGTCATAGACAGCTGTTTGTTGCCTGCAGCCATTTGTGGGCTCCATACATAACGTGATCCTGCGAAATGCTTCCACGTCATCCTTCAAACTAATGCTAGTCATGGTTATTAAACGTGGCCCGGGAATGACCCGGCTATGTAGCTAGATTTCAGGTTTTATGAATCAATTCAGATTACTTTAGAAAAATTAAAACAAATATTAAAATATTAATATTTTATATAAAAAAATTTATGTAAATATAGGTTATATATATTATAAACAATAAAATTTAAAAGAATATTTTAATTTTTTTTATTTCATATTAAAAAAAATATTATGTTAAATTTTTAAGTTCAAATATTTAAACAAATTTTTTTTTTTATCTTATATTGAAAAAACATAACTTTGTTATTAGAAACATATAATATATATACTAATAAGTTTCAAATCCTACATTGAAAAACCGTAACTTTTTTCATGAGAGCATAATATATATATGAAAGGGCTTCAAATTTCATATTGAAAAGATACTATATTATCCTTTTAAGTTAAAGTATTTCAACCAAAAAGTTTTTTATCCAACGTTGGTTTTTTACCCAACGTTGAAAAAATATGATTTTTTTCTTGATAACATAGAGTATATATACTAACGGGTTTTAAATTTCATATTGAAAAAACATTATTTTTTTCATGGGAACATAGAGTATATATAAAATGAAAAATATGATTTTTTTCTTGATAACATAAAGTATATATACTAACGGGTTTCAAATTTCACATTGAAAAAATATTATTTTTTTCATGGGAACATAGAGTATATATAAAATGGTTTCAAATCCCACATTGAAAAGATATTATGTTATCCTTTTATGTTGAAAGTTTTTGTATCCCACATTGAAAAAACATGATTTTTTTTTCCTGGAAACATAGAATATATATATAAAAAAGCTTTAAATCCCACATTGAAAATATACTATGCTATCCTTTTAAGTTGAAATATCTAAACTAAAAGGTTTTTTATCCTACATTGAAAAAACATGTTTTTTTTAGAGCATAATATATATATATATACTAATAGGTTTCAAATCTAACATTTGAAAGGAAAAAAAACACCAGGTTTCATCCGAGTTCACCCAAGTAGTCCGGGTCGTGGGTCGACCAGTTGGGTTGGACCAAGTTGTTGCCGCAGTTGATATTTTATTAAATCCAAACCGATCCAATCACCAAATTAACCCGCTAAACCGGATTGGATTTAATAACACTCATGCTAGTCCTAAGCTCCTCCGGTATAAAAATCATAATACATTTTTGGAAGGACTCGCCTAGCCGGTTCCTAAAACTCTTTCACAATTAGTTGGTAATTTGGTGTTGGAAGGTTTATTTAAAAAAAATATTTTTTATTGAAAAATATTTAAAATTATTTTTAATATCAACTTATTTAAATTATAAAAATATATTAATATGATTGTTTTTCAAACCAAACATAATTTTAAAACACAATTAAATATTTTTAAATAAAAAATAAATATATTATAAATCCTTTAAAATAGTCAAAGATAGATTGGATTAACATTAATTTATAATAACTAGGAGGAATTTCCTGCAATATTGCACAAAATTTCTTAAACGCTCTATGGCAAATTAATTTGAAAAATCCCTTGGATTTATCAATAAACAGCCTCAAATAATGCTGACACTAGAAAAAGAGTTCCCAAGCAAGTAATTTGTCACAATTAGGAAGCCACAGTATCTAAGCATATACTGGAAAGATTTATTAGGACGGCCTAGTTTCCAGCACCTCTGAGTCTAGAACTTGGTGTTTTTACGGGCAAATGGGCACCCATGCTTCTGATCTCAAGTTCCGACAAATCAACACCCCTTGTTTAAGAGTACTAATTCATTTGATTTGATACATATTTAAGGATTACAATTATCAATCCAGTTCCTGAGAAAGATGGGTGTCACCCATACATCTAGGACATTAATTAGCTAGTGATTTTAAGACAATTTTACAGCATTGATTGGAGCCTGTCGCGGTCAGTCCTTACATGGCCCCTGCTAATGTCTTCCACACTAGGGCAGCCTGCGAGGGCCATGGTGAGCTCAAGCTCGTCCTTCAGCATCTGCATCACCTTTCTCACCCCTGCTTCTCCCTTTGCCGCTAGCCCATAAATAACTGGCCTCCCAACCTCCATTAACACACACACACACACACACGCACATTAGTTGCAGTACAAAGCAGTATCAAAATTAAGTACATTTCGATTTCAATGCATTTATCATTATACTGCAACCAGTAATAGAAGAACAGTAGCTGTTTAGTTCTGCAATGATAATGTTCGTTCACTTCAACTATGAGCAGTTAATACTTTGCTTAAGGTTGCGATGTTGGTTGAGTAAATAAATTGAAGGAAACTATTGAACTAGAAGTGGAAGAGCACCAGGTTACTTCTTTTGTTAAATGTTTGTATAGTACTGCTGGAAAAAGATAATGTAGAGGGAGAAAACAAAGGTAAACCATGTATCATATAACTTATACCACTAGTTTAAATATAATCACATTAAATAATAAAAAAATCATTCATTTATTGTATTTTATTTTTAAAAACTTTTATCATTGTTCCAAGCATAATCATATTAAATTAAATAATAAAATATCATGATGCTTTTTTTTTTGTTATCTGACCTTGACCTTATTTGTGGAAACAATTCTTATGAGAAATGGGGAAGATTTTTTTTTTTTAGAGTGTCTTCTCTATTATGTTCAATGTTCTTTTCTTTTTAATATTTTTTTTCTTACTTGTTTGTTTAATAGACGTATTAATAAGTGTGAAGAGTTATGACCCTTGACAATTATTGTGAGATGTAACTCTTCATTCTTTTTCTTTATGTTACTTTATTAATATAAATAATATTAGTATAGATTGGGTTGACCCATCATAGGTGACCCAAATCCCTTCTTTTTTTGCCTCATCTCCTACTTACATATGATGGGATCAACTCTCTCATTAATTTTATAAAATTTATAATTAATAAATATATCATGAAGATGAATTATACTTGGAGAGCTTAGTTGCTATATATCTTTTAAAAATATATAGTTTCTTTAATAATGGGACATAAAGAAGATGTAACATAAAGTATCCTAGATCATTTATCAATTTATTTTTTTTATCTCTCATGATCTCATTTGTTAAAAATTTTATTTTCATAATTATATCTTATTACATAGAAAAAATTGATCTACCAATAAATATAAGTCAATGTAATAATACCAAAATGATCTTTCTCTTTTATCAACTCTTTCAATTTCCACGTAATTCTTTTTTCTAGTAATGTCCATGTAGATTGATTCATTCATAATTTTTTGGCAAATGTAGTAAGTTAGTGAAAATCAAATCTAAGTATTGAAAAGCAGACAAAAGTTATAAGAGTACAAGTGAATATTATTAATAATTTTTAGGATCTTATACAATATCAAATTAAAATCTTAGTTTGTATCACCTTTATTTGTCATATTACTTGCATGTGTTATAAAACACATGCTATGATATCATCTCTTTTTTCTTGGAGTGTATGTTTTTATACATAAAACCATATAGATGGCAGTTTAGACATACCTAACATCTAACTTTGACTTCACTTTTCTATTCATTCATTTTTGATTCATTTGAACTCACATTTGGCAATAAAATAGATATAGTGATAATTTTAAATAACTACTTAAAGTCAAAGCTATAACACATACTTCAATAATCTCTTTCTATATTTTTTATTAAGAAGAAACTTCATATATCAAGCTTGAGTGCTTTTTTATTATTCAGATTACAAGCTCAAAATCTTCTCACCTCTATTCATCACAAAAATAAAAGAGGTAATTATTTATGTGATAAATCCAATTTTTTATCTATTCAACATACTTCTTATAATTTATTTTTAAGTAGTATATATATATATATATGTCCTGCAACTTATGTAATTAGGCATGAAGACTATTTTAAATCATAAATTGACTTTAAAAGTTTATACACTGTGTGTTCTTGGTCTATCTTGATAAAACCCGTAGGTTTTTTCATATAGATTTCTTGTTCTAATTCTTCTTTAAGAAAAACAATATTTACATCTATTTAATATAATTCAAGATCAAGGTTTATAGATAGAATCAATCTTATTAAGCCAAACCTCATAACATGTAAAAATTTATAGTTAATTCTTTCATGTTGTGTGTATCGTTTAGCTACTAACCTGGCCTCATATTTTTTCATACTACCATTAGCTTTTCATTTTGTTTTATGACCCCACTTGTTCCCAATGGTTTTGTGTCCTTTCAAAAATATAGATAAGAGTGATTCATTGATAAATAAATAGAAATGTACTCCTACTCGAACCATCAATTGTAGATGGATTCATCATATGCAGTAATTAGGTTTCGGTTAAAACTAATTTATCTTCCTCCAAATTACTCCAACATGAAAGTGAGCCTATTTGTAATTGTATGCAGAAGCATTCTAGTCTTGAATTTTATAAAGAGATAGGTCTTGATATACTTTTCTCTATTTAGATAAATCATTAACTAAGAATATGATATCTTGTAATTTAAATTCAGTTATATCTTCACTTTCTTGCTTATTTATGAACAAATGTTTTTTTGAGTGTTCAAAATATCTTATAAAAATACATTTCTTCTATTTTGGACCTATTTTTTTCATATATATAAGAAAAATCTTGAGCATAAGTAACAGAACCTTAAGGTTTTAAAATATTCAAGTTAGGTTTATGTTTTGTTCATAATTCATATGGCTTGATTATAAGTGACTTGGAGGACATGATTAAATACATGCATGACTTAAAGTTTTTATTAAAGTAATGAAATAGACACCTTTATATTTTTTTTTTATATTCATCAGACCACAAATGTCAATATAAATTAATTGCAATAGAAATTCGGCTATAGTACCATTTTTCAAATTGTTTTCTTTCTTTTTTTGTTTTTCTAGCTATCAAATTTCATAAGTAGACAAATTTATTTTTCCAATAATCCTCCTTGCTTAAAACATACATGCATAACCTTGACATCAAATAATTATGTCAACAATGATTTCACATTATGTTTAAAATTGAAAGCTCACTATGTTTATAATCATTATCTAAGATCCTAATGTATAATTATTAATATCATAATTAATTATGTAAAGATGATATACTTAAAATAAAATATGTTTTAAGAATTTCAAAGAATTATAATCCCACATTAAACATTGTTATAAAAAATTAGAATTACACTACTGGAATTACGGAGTAATCAATGCATCAGTGTTATTAACACTAATTTCAATGAGATAATATAATCAACTTTACAAATATCATTATTATAGAATTACACATTATTTAATTATGTATTAACAGACATCAACTGGTACACGAAATTAATGCATTCATGGGAATCAATCATTATTATAGAATTGCACATGAAAATAAATGCGCAACAATTAATTAATGCCATATTATTTCTATAGATCATTATATTTTAGTAATCATACAAAACCATCTTTAAAGATAATTGTATAAAATGTTATGTTTGATATTACAGTTGAACTAATTTTTTGTTATTTTTTGAATTTTTTGAATTAATACTTTTTGTGTTTTTTTAATTATTTCGATGTAATGATGTAACAAAACCATCCAATTGATTTTTTGTTAAAATAATTTTTTCTAAAATAAAATAAAAATTATTATTTTAATATATCTCCAAAAAATACAAATGCTTATCAATGGTTAAAGAGATAATTAGTGGAAGATCATATTTATTTGTTTTAACTTACAAGAACTGCTTGCGCACCAAGGGCCAGCGCCTTGAAAACATCTGTTCCTCGCCGTACTCCTCCATCAAGGAGAACAGGAACTCTCCTTCCTACGGCTTGAACCACCTGCCAAAAAAGTAAATTTCGATGTCAATTGAATTGTCTGAATCAATAAGGAGTATAATTTAGACTGTCTGCATTCTTTAAAATGAGTCTACCTCTTCCAGAACTGAGATTGTGGCTGGAGTATAATCAAGCTGACGAGCTCCATGATTGGAGACGATAATTCCAGCAGCACCTACTTCCATGGCCTTAATGGCTGCAAAATAATCTCCAGTGTGTAAATGATCTAGCTTACATATTCCAGATTCCGTTATGATTGGTTGAGCAATGACTGATAATTTCGAAGAGAGTACAAGAGTGTTATGTGTTCAAGACCAAGAAGAAAGATAGAAAACGGAGTGACGCAAGCATCATCAGATGAGACTTTGATTTTACCATCCTCGCGAGTGAGTATTCCCTTGATCAGAATAGGCAAGTTTGTAATGTATTTTAGCCATGCTATATCCTGCGGTGTAACGAAGCAATGGTTAAATATAGGAATTTTTGTAATGATTTCTGTTATGCATGAATGCTGCATTGCCAGGATTATAATCAAGAAGGCTGCAAAATAAAGTCCATGAATCGGCCAACTAAATCGCATTGCTTTCAGAATTGGTTACGACAAATGGCTCTATACTCAACTCTTCTATTGAGTGGGCATCTCATGCAAGTGAAAAGTACAGCCTGAAAATAAGGGTATGATAAATAAATTGAAAGGTAATTAAATGAGAATTTTCTGGTTTTTACCCTCCAACACAAAGAAGGATCGAAGATTTCATTGGTGTTTGGTTTTATGTTCGAACCTTTATCCTGCAAGAGTTCATATATATCTGTAAGTCGAGGAAAAAAAATTGGACAGAACCGCTTCACATCGATAGGCCAAAAATTAAAAGCTATGTGAATCAATGCTGGAGAAATGAACACAAGCTTAATGCCCATTTCAATAATTTACTCACAGAGAATACTTCAATTGACATTAGACCTTCCAAATTCTTCAGCTGGGGCAAAATCATCCTGCAGAAGTGTGGTAGATGATTTCATTTTGGGATGCAAATGCATATATCTTTAAATACATGCAATTTTGTTTTGAGTGGAAACGAAGACAGAATAGTGGTTACAATCAACATTAAAGTCACATTCCACCAACAAATGAAGTGGTTTCGAACAGGTTTTTGTTTTTTGAAGAAGCGGTATGGGAGAGGAAAAAATGATATCTACTTATTCTTTATGTCTGCCTCCCTTCGACCTAGTCTTGGAGTGTCAGCTGTTAGGACGATAGCCTTATATCCACTCTTTTCAGCTCTCTGCACAAGGTTAACAGCTATATCTCGTCTTTTGCATACCTAATCACATGCAGAAGTGTAAATGCTTACAGTTTAGTTCCCAAATTCATATGCATGTTGGTACCACAGCAGAGTTGCCTCAATTGAATTATGAGTGTCATAGAAAATGTGAAAATGCTAAAAAGTTGTTTCTGTTGCACTAAAAAAGAGAGTCGAACGAAGAATTTTGTCACTTAAAAAACTAAAAGAGACTAAATTTCTTTTTGGAAAAGAGAGAGAGAGAGAGAGAGCTCATGGAGGTCTAATTACGTATAATTGAAAGAATCGAACAGCATCGCAGCTGGCAGCAACCTCCTCCACGCTGCAGGAAGCTGTGAAGGATAAAGTCTGGAAAGAAATAAATCCCATTATCCAAGCATGTAAAGCAAAATGGAAAAAATATCAAGGCTGAATGTTCCTCATATGTACCATTATAGTATTACATGCAGCAGCTGCTCTGGCAGTGGCAAGCTCTCCTGGGATAGACGGAAAAGCTGGTAAAAGCAGGATGAAGAATGAATGTACAAACTAATAACTCTTCAGTCAGAAGATAAGACCTTCAGGATGTGCTAGCTTATGCATAGCAGTCGGGGCTATCATAATCGGCGCCGAGATAGTGTAGCCCAATATATTAGTAGACAAAGCTATGCTGCTCACATCCACAAGAACTCTAGGCAGCAATCTGAGTAAAAGTGGTATGTTAAATTTCATGCCCTTTACTACACACGCATCAGGAAATAGTTTCAAGGTATTACATGATTCTCTGAAATTCTTGCACGTTCTTCTTTAATGTGTGCTCATCCTCTGCTCCTCCAGCATAGAAGTCATAGTACATTTTTGGAAGGGCTTGCCTAGCCAATACTTGGAACTCGTTCACATTAACTATTTCATCTGCCATTGAACCTGGAAACTTTGATTACAGTCAAATGTCTTGCTTCACAGCGCTTTTAGAAGCGTAAGCTCCAGTAAAAATCATAAAAAGACTAGGGAACACATTAATTGTCAAAATTTGCAATGAAAGGTGATGCTCTAATTTTGTGCGTCGAAATTTTTTATGTCTTGTAATCGACAATCGAAGAGCATTATTTTGGTCACAGCAAACCCTAAACTAGCCTCCGAATTAGATAGGTTTTGTAAAGCAGAAGGTATATATATCTGCAAGTTCGATTGAACTATCTCAATTCTTAACACAGGGTATAAACTGTAAATTTAGCACTTGTAGTTACAACATTGTACTATCTGAAACACTAAAACATGCGAGACCGACACGAAAATAACAAATTGTTTCCATTCAAGATCACATGATAATCAAGAAGCTTAGCTGCAAGAAAAACAGGTTGTGCTGATTCCCCAGCTTAAAAAACAAAGAAAACTGCAAGAAAAACATACCCGCGGTAGCAGAAAGCTCCAGGGAAAAAGAGAAGGATTGAAACAGGTATTGCCAATCAAGGTACCAAGAAGAGTGAAAAAAAAATAAAGAGAAACAGAGTGTGAATTAGAGAAGGTACGTGCACAAATGAAATGTTAGGCCATCATGTCATTGGCTGCCTGCGAATGGTTTGTCATTTTTTGTCTTCTTTCATCGCGTCATTGTCTGGCAGCAACCGGTTTGTCATTTCCGTTCATCGTGGTATTACACGAGTGATGCTGGAACGGTGCCCATGCTTTCTAAACTTTCTTTTTTTCATGTAAAAAATAATATTAGGTGCAGCAAGTATATTCTTTTAAAATATATATATATGGATTTCAAGTTAGAAGTGAATGAATTGAATTAGTTGATTTTATTTTAATTAAATTAAAAAAAAATAATAATGACCATAATAACTTTGAAAGTTTTTTTTTAAATAAATGAAATAATATAATACAATTCACTGTTCATTAAACAAAAAAAAATTAAAAAAATAGTTATGATCAACTCTAATTATTATAACAAACGTATAAACTTAGTAACAAGAAAGAGGTGATAATTAAAGGTTAAAATTATAAGATCAAAATAATACTATATAAAAAAATTTATAAAACTTATTTTTTGTATAAAAAATTAACTTGTATTAACTTTTCAACTTTTGATTTAGTTTATTAAACTTGAAATATACTATTTTTAAAAGTTATGAAGTTTAATTTTAATAAATTAAATATTAAAAAATAAAATTAAAAAATTAATTATATAAAAAATTAAAAAATTAAAAAAAAATAAATTTTATGTATGAATTTTAGGGTAAAACTATAAAGAAAAATAATTGAGAAAAAGACAAAAAAAAAAGATTTATTGAAACTCATAATATATTTTTGGAAGGACTTGCGTAGCCAATTTCTAAAACTCAATCACGTTCACCGGGCCGCTTTTCATCTATCCTTTAAAAGAGTCCGAGGAGGAACAATAAACAATAAATAAGCAGTCACCGGAAAGATTTCGAAGAAGACAAGAGACAATCTTGTGCCCAGGAGAACTGTTTGTTGCATCTCGGGATTCTCCATGTTAAGTTTGGTATCATCAAACACGCACATATGTATGAACCGTGCTCTACAGCGGACCGTAACATTTTCTTAAGGACACAATCTGGTTAGACAGGCTATTTTAATATGTTTTTTGTATAAAAAAATTTAAAGTATAAATTGAAAAATTTATTAAAGTATTTAATGAAATAAAGCAATAATTATCAATATAAATAAATATTTTTTTTAACTATAATTAAAAGAGTATAAGGAAAAAGTGAGAGATGAATGTCTTTACTCTCACAAAATGAAATATTTTTTATTTGTTTATAAAAAAATTGTTTATTAAAATCATTAAAAAATAATATAAATAGAAATAAAAGAATATATAAAGCTAAGTAAATAAAATAAAATAAAATAAATATTATGCAAGGCCGGACATATTATAAATATTATTTCAAAATAAATATTTTTTTATAAAATAAATCTTATATGTATGAAAAAAGCATTCAAAAATTAAACACAAAACAAAAAATTATTAAAAAAACTCTATTAAAAAAATTCTTGAAAATCTTGTTGTCTAAACCATGAGACCAGGATGAACTAATAAAAATAAAAGAATCCATAATCGTAGTAACTCTTAAAACTCATGACTTGTGTCATTAAATCAGATGCATGATAAATAAAAAAATAACAAAGCTAAATCCTCAACAAATCAAAAGCCAAAGAATGAAAGTGAGGAAAAATCTATAACACAAAAAAAATATAATCAAAAGAATGAGGTTAATAATAATAAAAAAACTAGAAGGCATAATAAAAACTAACATTAGAGTGTTAAATTGAAAAGAAAAAAAATTAACAAAAGAAAAAATGAATCAATAGAATAAGAGTTAAATTGAAAAAAAACAAAAAAAAATACAAATTTTAATTTAAGAATGAAATTGAAAACAACAAAACTCTTACAAAGAGCCAGGGAAATAAATAAAAAAATCAAAAGCATAAGAATCAAATAAAAACAATAATACTTGACAAATTATAATCCAAGAATGAAATTGAAAACATCAAAGACTTTTCAAAAAAGACCAAGGACTAAAATAAAAAATAAAAAATATAAGGACTAAAATCAAAAAACAAAATGAAAAAAGGTTTGATGTGTACTTTTGCTAGGAGAGAGAGAGAGAAAGAAGCAGGAAAAAAAACAAAGAAACAACCATCAACATAAATCGTCCATCAAGTACCATCACGGTACCACAAGGAAAAGGGCAAGGCAGCGTTTTCAATCACACAACAAAACAACATATTTGACCATGAGGATATTCCACACTGCAGTCCATAGGATGTTGATACACCTCACGTGCCAATGTTTGAGCATTACATGCCATCTGTGCTTTGATTTAAAAATCAATTAATTGGAGAAAAAATATCCAAAACACCCCTTTTTATCCCACATTTAACAAAGAAACCAACATAAAAAGATAAAAGCACCCTTGGACTCTTTGCTTATTTTTTTTATTGTAAGGGTAGAAAGGTATTTTCATAATCTTGAAAAAAAAATACAAAAACATAAATACCCTTTACTAGTAGTTCAATTTTTTTTAGCTCAGGGGAAAATAAGTAGTTATACTATTTTTTTTTAAATGAAAAGATGTTAGTAACCCCTACCAATCCTTTAATGAAAAATTTTTAAATTTCAAAAAGACAAAATTATGTTTAAAACCGCAACAACCAAAATTCTCTTTAAAGGATAAAATCGATATTATACTATGATAACATATAGTGTAATATCTCTATATCTACATTGAAAGGCTTAGTAAAACAACAATGCATTTTATATTTCTATTAATGTGTGTGTATAAATATTTATTAAAATTTTCCAAGTCAACAAAAGATAGAAAAGAAAACAAGTTTGTCATTGTCAAAAGTATAATTATAATGTGACAACAATAGCTAATGAATAAATATATTTTATACACAACTCACTTGCTTAAAAGACCATTAATATAAGGGTCAAAGGTAGGGTGGTGACACAACACTTTTGGACTCAATTACGTGCTGACTTCCAATGCATGTGAACCTAGTAAAATATCGACCCAACACCCTTGGGCTTAGTTATATGCTAAGCCTATATGCTTATGGGTCCAGTAATATACTAAACTCAACTCTTTTAAGCTGGCTACATGCTAAGACCAATCACTTGTGCGTTTAGCAAGATGCCAGACCTACCCCTCTTAGGCTTGGCTTCATGCTGAGCCTAAATATTTGTGAGCCAAGTAAGATACTAGATTTAACTTTTTTGGACTTAACTATGTGTTAAACTTAAGCATATTTGGGCCTAAAAAGATGTCGAGCTCAACATCCTTGGGTTTCAAATCATTTCAGATCTAAACATATAATTGATGGTCTTTATAGGCCTTATGTTGGGTTGCAAGGCAATCCATAAAAACCTTAACTCGGGATACTAAGAGTTTAGGGTAGTCATTTTCCTATAAAAATTCTAAAATAGCCGGTTATATTTGAATCAATATTTATGTTATGAAAGGATTATTTTCATTAACATTAATGTTATGTATGAAATAAATAATAAAAGTCTTTTGTAGCTCTACTATTTATTCATTAACACTAATGATATGAAAAATATCATTTCTATCAACATTAATGATGTGTAAGAAGATATTTTTATCAATATTAATGTTGATATAAGATATTTCTTATTTATTGAGATATTCAAAAGAAAAGGATTTTCAGCCTCTTAAACAAAAACAACAAGTTTCATAGCACAAAGACTATAAATGCACTCCGAACCACGTAGGTTATATGGATTCACAAACTTTATTCTTGTATCATATATTTTGAAAGCATTTATTACATATAAAACCAAGGGTAAACATTCTTGTTTTTAGAGTTCTAATACTTATTTCTTCATTTATTATATAAAGTTATTGATTTAATAATTAGAAAGTTCCAAAATCCCATAAAAGAATACTATTTTGTAGAAACTGAGACTTCAACCACCAATCCTCTGTTCCTCAGTTTTTTAGGAATAGAATATTAATGTAAATGTATGATCATTCACTATTCAAATATTCAAACACTATTCTTGTACATATTTAATTTTTGAACTTTATCAGCAACCAAAAAAGAATAAAAAAATCTCATAAATATAAGAGTATTAGTGTAATTGTAAAATAATCAATGTATAACATTGAATTTATAAATAGGATCATAGTGCTGGGATTTATAAGTGTTACTTTATGACATATGAAGTTTGAAATGATGACAATCTTAATAGGTATAGCTTAATTGATTAGACTTTAGGCTTGCTTCTTAAAAGTCTCTAATTCCAGTGCTACAAATCTTAGAGCCATTAAAAACTTATTTAGTTGTTAATTTAAGAGTCTTAAAGGATTAGTTAAAATAAACATAAGCTAATTTGAACACACATGATTAAAAAAAAAAAGGTTTGAAGTGATGACAAAAAGCAATACTTTTATATGTATGATTAGTACTTAAAAGTGTATTTTTATCAAGGTTTTATATCATCATTTTGCACTTGAAGTATCAATAACTCCTTAACTAAAGCATGTTTTATAATAACATATCTAATAATATAAGATAC